CCCAAACCAGCCAGGGTAGGCCGGGACACCCCGGTCCTCTACCCCACCACCTCCTTGGCTTTGCTTGGCCCACGAGTCGAAGGATTAACGGCGATGCCGTATTCCGGAATTACCAGACAAGCAGGAAAAGAACAGCCGGTATGGTGTGGTCACGGTTGGTGTGAGTGGTGTGAATTTCCGTCGAATCTGAGCGACCGCGTTGGATTTGTAAGTGTTTGCTGCATCGCTGTCGGAAGCTTGTTTTCTCGTCACCCCAGTGAGTACGATAGCGAGAAAATGGTGCTCGCGCGCCCGGGGTGAGGCGAAAGAGGCGTCGCCCCCCCCCCCCCTCTCCCTAAGGTGTAATAGATCTCTATTACACCTTACCTCTCCCTCTCTCACTCTCCATGATTGTTTACCGGCTGAACATTTAGGAATAACTGCGTGGCGACGACGGCACGATTTTGGAATGTGTAAACTGGAAATGATGACGACACTCGTTCAGTGAGAAAAATCGAACATACTGAAAAAAATTACATATAAAAACCAGCAGTTTAATGGAACATAATATGCATTTTATTAATTGATTGACAGGTTGAGCAAAATAAATTACATCATGTGTATGCATACTGAATGTTTCACAATACGAAAATGATTGATCAATGTTGCACATCCACATCGTTGATGTGTACCCAACGGCATCGTCCATTGGTAGCGTGGTCTTCAGGGGAAGGACACTCGTCTTTGGAGTGCGCGAAAACTCCGACCAATTTGAAACTCTTCAAGTCTCTGTGGCAGCCGAGCACGCACTTGTCGCACAAGTCTTGGAAGCAAGTCAAGTATTGCAGCTCCACGTGCAGCAAGGGGTTCCTCGACATGAGCGACGCGAGTTTCTCACTGTGCAGTAACGCGTGAAAGCAGACGTTTTGCGTCGAGTCGTAGAGGCGTATCTGGAGGCTCCGCAGGGACGGGGCGGTGAGGGGGGTGATGCCGCGCAGCAGCGCGTCCGGGTCCAGGTCCACGACGAGCCGTCGCAGGGCCGGCAGCGAGGGCAGCGCCAACCGCAGCTGGTCCAGGAGGGGACGCTGAGGAGCCGATCCCACGACTTCGATGGACAGCACCTCCACTTGCGACCGCCCGGACGACGCGAGGGCCCTGATCAGGTCGGCACCGAACTCACCACCACCACCACCAACACCATCATCATCTTCTTCAGCATCGTCATAGGGAAAGAAGAGATGGAGGGATCGGAGCTGGTGGGCGCTACGGAGGAGCTCCAGGGCCCCGGGGCTGTTGTCGTCACTGACGGGCTGCACGGTGAGCTTCAGCGCCCGCAGCGACTCGCACGCGGCCACCTCCCCCAGCCCGTTCATCATACGGCAGGTCAGCTGGCGGAGGTTGGGCATGCCGGCCAGCAGGCGCAACGGCGAGAGGGTGGCGTCGACGGGGCAGATGTCGTGGTCCTCGAAGTCGACGGCCTCAAGGGTGGCAGCGTGCCCGGCCAGCATGTAGTTGCAGAAGGCGACTGTCCACGGCTGGATATCGCACGTGAAGCTCTTCAGGGACGGCGCCCAGGCACCGCGCTGACCGGTTGCGGGCACGACTTGCCAGCAGCACCTGCTTCCAACTCTCAGCGTGACCTTCTCGAGGCCGCGGGTGGAAGCCAGCGCCCCCAGCAGCGAGTCGGCGGTCTCTTCGGCGAGGAAGCCGCCCAGGAAGTGTAAACTCACGGCTCGCAGCCGGCCGAGCGCCTCCTGCTGCTTGACGATCTGGACGGTGTCCGCGACCTCCTCCGGCCCGCACTCCTCCAAGGTGTCCCCCATGGTGATCGACAGCGCTCTGGCGGCGCACGAGGTCGTCCGCAGGTCGCCGTGGCGACACGCCGGTTCCATCGGGACGACGGTCGAAACCTCGCGCGCGCACGGCGCCAGCCGCAGCAGCGGGCACGATCCGGGACCGCCGTACACGGCAAGGGTTCGGTGCCGCCACACGTCGGGGTGCTGGGCCAGGCCCGCCAGCCTCCTGCACATGAGGCGGAGGGCCAGCACGTCCTCCAAGCGCAGGTGCGACATGACGGCGGCCAGCAAGTCCTCCGGCAGCTGATCAAGGAGCTGTGGGAGATTCGATATCGCGCACGTCAGAGTGTGGGGCGAGCTTCAAGTCACAACAGAAACAGACACACTCTTGTTGACAAACACTTACCATGGTGCTCGAGTCCATCGACGACAGGCAAACGAGAGTCAGAGGAGCTAGAACCTTCTACGCCGAGCGTCTGCGGCCCACAACGAACGACACAGCGCGAGCGCGACAGAGTTAGTCGGACTGACTGACCTTTGCGCTCGGCCGGGCCGGCCCCGCCCAAGTCCCAGCGTCCGGAGTATGTGGCGGCTACCAAAGTACAGTCCCAGCCGCGCGAACGAAACTGTACAGTCCCAGCCGCGCGGACGGACCTGTACGGAATATTCCGGTCTGACCGGTTTAGGCGGCGGCGGCGGCCGAGGCGGAGCGAGCGCACTGTTTCAGAAGGAGGAAACTCCCGCACCCGACGCAAATCATCCTACTTTTGGGAGACACGACTCTCGCGCTATCCTTGCGGAGGGGCTATCCAGTCGTCCTAAGAATACGGGTGTTCGGTATACCGCTCTGCCGGTAGTGCGAATAGTCATATTCTCCCGGTGTGAATAAAGCACAACAACAAGCAGAACTTTGTTTTGTGGAAAGTTTCCAGCTACAAGGTTTCAGAAATCATAATCCATTTTATTTTCTTGCATTGTACAAGAGAGGTCATTACATTACATAAGATCACAGAAAAAACAATATAAACAATGTGTTAGATGCACAGATTAATACCTTGAAGTACAATTCTAAAATTTAATAAAATATATTTTTGATTAAAGGAGGCGAAAACATTTGTAGAATTTACACATTGAGACCGTTATAAAAATATGTGTCAGGTAATTCACATAAGACATAGGATAGACTGGTCTGAATATGATAAAATGTCATAACTCATATCTTGAATGAAGTTTTTAGCTTCGTAGTCCCAGTTTAGTATGAACGAGAGGTAGAAGTTCGGAGGTTTTTCATGGCCAGGAATACATGCAAAGCATATACGTACAGAGATGTTACAGTTAAAATACTATTCAACTTCAAAGGAAGGCATTCAATGAAACTTTTCGTTATCTTTTATCCTAACAAGCCATTCTCAACGCGTTTTTCTAGTTTAGAGACTTTTAAATCCTGGCTAAGGATAACACGTAGAACTAAAGTTCTGTAGTTCTAAGTAAGAACAAATAAGGTATAATCTCATAGAACAATTTTAATATTTTTAGAACTGGGCACATGTGAACCTGCATGCTAAGTTAAAGCGAAGTGCAAAATAACTTTACTTTGTATGCCAGCTGTTTTGACAGTGTACCTAAACTACATTTTCAAGTGTTGCACAAAGAAGTGAAGCCAAGCCCACGTTTTCTTTTGCCCAATTCAAAGAAAAATAAATATGATCGTCATAAAATTGTACCCAATTTGCTCTTAGTGCTATCCTGCTTTCTGCATGTTGTTGTGCTTATTTAGCTTATTCACACCAATAGTATACGATTATTCGCACTACCAACGGCATATCGGTATACCGCACACCCCGTATTCTCGGCGACTGGATATCCCCGGAGACGCACTAGACTAGAGTGCTGGCGCACCGCTTGCTTTTGCCTACCTCATACTAAAACAAAATCACAAAACTCGTGCGCTGCAGCAACGAAAAAAACAGAGAAGTCGGCACTTTGCTCCGGTCTTCCTCTACTTTGTGCCGCTCCCCGCCGCCGCCAACGCCGCCGACGACGACATATATAACTTTCCTGGCACAAGTTACCCTTCGCTCCGTAATGATAAATTAGACTGACACACTCTACGGGGAGGCGGCAGCGGCGGGCGCGGCGGCGATACCGCTGGTGAGGGGGTGGAGTTTGTGATTCTGAAGAATCGGCTCCCGGCCAAACTGGGCGAGTTCGTGCCGCAAACAGTCGTACAACGCTCGCCGTTACTCGTGGTGTTCGCCCCGGCTCGCAATCGGGGGATTTGTTAAATACACACATGGTAGGGGCACGCGCGGGAAAGTACAACGACGACTACAGGTAGCGGAGGAATAAAGCAGTGGGACTGGGGTTTTTAAAGTCCTAAATTTCCCTGGAAACAGTTGGAAACTTTTCCAGAGAAGAAACGGAAACAAATTGAAGTATTTCCAAAAACTGTGAAAAAAATAAAATTTTCGTGAAAAAATTGTGAGGGTTTTTAATTTTTTTTCCGAGAGTAGTTTTCTCGAAACTAAAAAAAGCCTAAGTAGTTTTGTGTCTCACCAGCGCCAGCTTCTCGTACTCCTCCTCCACGTAGCTGCCGTTGTAGAAGCGCTGCGAGGCCGTGATGTCCGGGAAGTAAAAGCCACGCCGGCAGACGCATCGATACGAACCCCGACGGAATCCGAGACCTGCCACGGGCTCACACTGCAAAAAATAAAAAATCAAGAACACAATAAAGTATAAAACATTTAAAAAAAAGTTTTAGGAACAGAAACGCGTTTAGTTTAGACGGCCGGTTCTCCTCGCCGACGGACAATTAATTCCAGCTTAGTCGCAACACGTCCAATTAGCTGGGAGGAAGTTTTCGCCTCGGCCTAAATATATGTATTTATATATTCCACAGACTTTTGAGCGTGGTCGCTAGGATCATATGGTCCAGGTGGATTGCGATAGCGAAATCAAACCTTACCTACCCTCC